TTAAAAACTAAAAAGTAGAAAATAATTTATAAATATGTGGAGAGTATAAATACTTGTAAGATTTAAAACAAAAAACTTTGGGTGCATGCAATTGATACATTAGTTCAATAGGTGAAGGTAATTGTAAATTATCTATTGCATGCACCCCACGTTTTTCGTTTTAAATCTTACAAGTATTTATACTCTCCACATATTTATAAATTATTTTCTACTTTTAAGTGTGTTTTAAAACGTTTTGCTTTGAAAAGTTTTTTTTATTTATAAATTATTTTTCATGTCATTACATTATTTGACAGGTTATAGTGTCATACACAGGATAACTAAAGCTAAGAATAACAAAAATGTCTTACTTATCTTATGTTATCTTTTGTATAACAAAAAAAAAACAGCTTGTCGATAATATTGGTATTTATTCACCTATTGAAAATGTTCATAAATTAAGATTAAAAAATGTTTACTATTTCAAACAAATACAGAAACAACTTTTTTTTGTCACTCTTTGAATCAAAGACAACTAGGAAAACTGTGAGACAAGTTGAAACAAGCAAAACCAACAACAACCTCTTATCAGTCATTGAGTTGTTGAGAGTTTGATTGCCTTTTGAATGACCTGATTCAGGAATTGCAAACTTTATGCTAAAGAAAAAGTTTTGTATTTCTTTAAGTGTCCACCTTCGATTAAATTAGAATTCCAAAATAATTTTTTACCATTATTTATGAGGTTGCTTAATTATCGGTTTCCGAAAAGTGTATAGTCAGTCTGAATCTAATCAGTACAGCTAATTTACTACTTTAAAATTATACCAAGTATCCTTTTATGATAGGTATTTTTACTATAAGTATTCGGTTTCAAGGATACGTCGAGGGGTGCTTAATTATAACATATTTTATATGATTTTGTAATTAAAATAAGAAAGTAGCTTTTATAACTTTTACTTTACTGTTTAGTCCACTATATTATTTAAACTAAAGAGTAGGGTTTAAAATCCAATTTTTTCTGTCTCAAGTTCATGTCTAGCTTTTCACTCTAATGTCACGCTAGTAATTATTTAACTTTAATTAACTTTTTGTGGTCGTAGAGATCTAATTCTTAATTAGTGGTAGCCAGTGGCCATGAGATGGGGTTGCTTGCTTAGAAATTCTCATCCAACTTCAAACTACTTTGTGATTGGTGCGTTGAGTGACTACTATGTGCTAAGATTAAAGTTATCAAGTTTGCCAGTTTGCCAAACCTGTTCAGCCGATTTTTTATTACTTGCAGCTCGCACTTATCTTAAATCTAAAAAATTTTGCAGGTACTTTATATGATTTTATTCATTTAAAAGTTAGGGAACCTCTAGCCTGGTGACGGTAACAAATGAAAATAATATATTTAAATGTACATAAATAGATTTTTTTATTTTATAATGTCTAGGAGTTCTATTTTAACTATGGGGTTTTGGTGAACTTACAAACTAACTTATCATTACAAAAAACTTTCGTTTGATTAGGACATGTGGGAGATTGGCATGCATGTTTCCATAGAGTAATGTACATAAAATAGGTCCAGTAATCTAAGTATCACTGCTCCTTATCCATATATAGGCTATTAATAGGCAAGCACGTTTCTTTAAAACCTTTTTACTCAGCTCGTGTGAATCACAGGGAAAATCTACGCAAACTGTTAGAAAGATGCCTGTATGTGTGCAGACCAGAGTTTAGGCCTTTACAAATTGAAATAGGCTTAAAAATAAGCACAAAAAAAGAATTAACATTTTTTTTTCTAATTAACATGGACCTTATGAGTTGCTATGCTGGTTAAAAAATAACAACAAAATATATACATAATATCAAAACAAATGGATGAAACTCCAATTACATGTTTTTTTAACAGCTTGTGGTGAAAATGGAGAAGTCTGTAAAGTTGAATTTTATTTATCTATAAGCGGTTAAGGAGTGGTGGTATATCTTTGAAGATGAACCTTTTTGTCTGTAGTGCGATCATGTGTTCATACGTGTCAAATTTTAAGGTCAAATCAAAACAAACAAACTGGCATATATTCTTGAAATTTACACTGACAATAGTTAAATGCTTTTAACTTACTCTAGCCTAATTTTATTAAAGTACTTGAATTTTTTAGATAATATTTACTGTGAAGTAGAGACGTGATTTCTAATTCCAAATTAATTAATGAATAAGTTGTTATTTATTGTCTCCAAATTGGTTGCTTTGGGAATAATTAATTATAAGTATGAGCAAATATTAAAATATTGAATCTTCTTGCAAAATTAATTTCGATCATTATATTAATAGAATAATGTGATTGCTGCTACTTGTATACAAATAAAATAACTATTGCGACATACATTAATGCTGAATCAGCATTAACCAATCAGCATTGCTGATTTACGTTTCGTTTAAAAATCATATAAATATATACCCGCCTTTGGGGTTTCAAGTTAGTGACCAGAATTAAATACTCTCTAAATGACGAGATAAACCTTTATAGATTTTTACCCATTTAAATTATAATTGACAGCCAATTTTATTGCTGATAGTTCATTATGCAATCAGGATAGTGTTATACGATAGGCCAAGGAAGCAATATACGAGTTTGGTTCATAAAATTCAGAACCCTAAATACTGAATATTTGCTAATAAATTAGACAATGCAATATACTAAATCAATTCATTTTATAAAATTAAATGATTTTTTTAATGGGCATTCTTTTGTAAGTAATACAACACGGCCCCTAAATGCCTAATTAACAACATGCCAGAATGTTTGTTTTGATTTAACCCAAAAACTTTACGCGTATGAACACATGATCGCACTACAGCCAAATAGGTTCATCTTCAAAGATATTCCACAACACCTTTACAGCTTCTAGCTAAAAAAAAACCAACTGGTACATTACATATTTTTGGTTGAGTTTTAGACCACTGGGCGACCTCTAGTTATGTTATTTAAAACTCAAATCACTTTTGCACGGTGGTTTTTGTCTACATACATATCGATATTAGAGATATCATACTTATATCTTGAAAAACATTTTTGTTGAGAGTTTAATCAGGAAGGTTATTTATACATAGTGTATTGATATAATAGTGTATTTAATGAATCAGAAATCATTAAGGTTTCAGTAAAATAACGTATATTATTTGTTTAAAATCTAAATGAACCTTTGTTTTAAACTACATAGAGATACGTTACTTTTGTAAAAAGACTGTGTTACATATTAAATTAAAGATGTGTAAATAAAATAGGTGTATTCTGAAATGAAACTTAAATAACAATGAATGTAAACAAAAACTAAATGAACTTATTAAACATAACATATGGTATTAATTAGACATATCTTAGAAAACACATTAATTTCCCCACTTTAAAGTCTTGACCGCAGCATTTGATCTACATGTCGTCTGCATGTTACTCCGTTCTCCAGTTAAACGTTGCAATGTAGATTTCCATCTCTTGATGTAACTTTTCCGAAACTCCATTTTCTTTGACCCTTGTAATAGTGTCTCACTTGAACAAATAAATTGTAATAAATATAATGTAGAAACAAATACTGTTACATATTAATAATAAAAAATGTGTAAAATAAAATAAGTGTATTCTGAAGTGAAACCTAAATAACAATGAATGTAAACAAAAATTAAATGAACTTATTAAACATAACATATGGTTTAATTAGACACATGTTAGAAAACAAATCAGACTGTGCCCGTTTAACATTTAAAATCTATGCAATACTAGCTGTTGTACCCGTGCTTTACAACGGGAAGAGGGGCAAAAAGCAAATAATTCATTTTTCAAATAAAGTAAATGTGTACTGAAAGCTATGTTAAGATAAAATAAGAGTAGTTTGTATTACCACTTGATAATTAAAAATAGTTACACATATACAACAGATTTCAGAACCCTAAAATCAACGACGTACAATTTTGTTATTGATGATATGCTTTAGTTTAATTTAAGCATAGGTTTAGCAAAACACAATAACTAAATTGACCTAAATATACATATAAAAAAAACAATGTGATGTGCAAGCTATGTTAAGTTAATCTAACACATGTTAAGCAGTTCGAATTTATTTAAAGTAGCCTCCAAATTCATACGAAATATCTATAGATTGTAATTTTCTTACTTTTTCCATGAAAATATATCAATAACAATATTTTCATAAAACTTAAGACACTTAAAATATCGAAAGCAGAGCCTGGGTTGATACAGCAACGCTTTTAGAATATATTTTTATTTCTATAATCATTGACATAGTTTTTGAATAAATAATCTTTGATCAATTTTTATAGTAAATAAACCAACCACACAAATGTGTGAAATATTATATTTAATTTCATTGGATCAACTGTTTTAAATTGTGAAATATGCAATTTGACCGTTCTTCTTATTTACATTGAAATGTCAAAGCAAATGTAAACTTTATGAGTATTGCCATTGCAGCCACGGAGACCAATTAATATTTACTTTTTAAATCCTCACCTCGGAACTCTTAAAGCCAAAGGGGCAAAGCCCACGGTCAGTATCGAAGTGTGAACAGTCCTAAAATGGTCCTTGAAATGGTAGCTATATTTTAGTAAAATTTAAGCCCAGTTGGTTCAGTAGTTTTTGCACCTATTAGTAATACACATACAGACAGACACCATTAGATTTTTATATAATATTATAGAAGATTATTTATTTATTTTGAATTAGCATTGTCATTGTATCATAACTATTTTACTAAAACCAGTTTTGACATTTTTGGAATAATGGTTTTTACGTTATACTGTATATATAAATAACTTCTTGATCAGCATCATTAAATTGTATTAAATTTACGGAAAGTAAATAAAAGAAACGTCGTTTCTTGTATTTACTTTCCGTACTGTATATATAGCCACATAATAGAACAGCCACATTACTGTACAGCTGTTTATATTTATAGAATGTTATCAGGAGAAGATAACACTAAACTACTAAAGGATTTGCTGTTTCAGTGCTTCCTCTGATATCGCAGTGGTATGTTCACGTGAGTTTAAAATTTCAGTTTACTATGATATAAGAGTAACATCGTTTTTTTCACATATCATTTATAGTGAAAAGAGGTCAAAATAGATCAGTAACAGTGAGGAGTCCAACAATGTGTTCTTTATTGTGAGACTATAAATTAAATTAAAATCCGTTATTGGTATAAAATTTATTTCTTAAACTAACTCTTAATAGCTTATGCAAAGGAATTGTAACAGTTTTTTTTAAGTTCAAGAGTGTTAAGGATTAACTTGCATGGTGATGAGTCAAGTGAAACAGAAACTATTAGCAGAACAATTTTAAAATCGATTAAATTTGTCCAAACAGTTTGATAACCAATGCACTGAAATACAAATGAATTTCTCAAGATTACTAATTCTGGTCCTTTTAGGTAAGTTTATAATTAATTAGTTGTAAAACAAATTAGTAGGACTTGTTGTTGTTGTTCTCGTGACGTTCCGGTCCAGTGTGGTTATATAGTCAATGCTGAAACCCTACTGGGCTGGGCTGAGGCTGTTTTAGGACTATGTCCTCTTCAGCCAGGAAAAGGATTGCAGCTGCAGCAGAGATATGTTTTCAAATATTTTGAATGTGTGATAACATTGGCTTTACCTCGCCAAGTTTACACAATCGTATGTTTAACAGTGCAGTTTTCCTGTTTTGGTTTTATTTCCAGAAGTGGCTCATTTAATTAAAAAAGCTAATAATAAATTATTTAAAATAACATAAGAAAGTGATCATAAAAGTAAATTATAGAAATAATTATAAACTAATGAGCAAAGTATACGTTAGATATGTTGTTTTTTTTAACATAGTTTTATTTTGTTATAGGGAAAATACTTTCCTCTGAATGTAAAAATGTAAACTCCTACTCCAAAAGAAGAATTCCCTACCAAGTAAGTACTTTGTTGTATTAATAACTGGACATCATTTTTGTTAACGTTTAAGTAGCTCTAATAGTCCTATACTCTCATACGAGTAATGTCTGTATGTATGTCTTTAATATTTATCTCGAAATCCAGCGGAAGAAACGTGATTGACAACAGCCACTGCAACAGAAAAATTCTTATTTCGCTACACAACTCATTTGAAAATTTAAAAAAATTCTTCATTGCCCTTATAGGTTGCCAAGTAACTATGTTGGTTGAACAAAATAACAAGTAAAAAGTAAACAAAAGAATTGCAACATGTGTTTATAACAAGCCATCCACAGAATACTGGCATGTATTATAAAATACAGTACTTAAGATAACTTGATATAGAGGAAACAGATGTAATATATTCACATTACCTGACTCACTTGAACAAGAATTATCTGAACCACCTGTAAAATGTTTATGTTTACTTTTAGTGAATTTCTCTATAGGTAAAGTAGCTATTACCATAGGTCTCATGGTAAATTTTTATATATGTGTATAATATATATATATATACATATATATGTCCGTGAAGACGATAACTTGAGTATTTTTGTCCGATTTTGATAAAATTTGGTTTAAAGGCGGGATAAACTTGAATGAGGTCGCGAACCAGCATGAACGGACCATGGGAACGGGGTTTAACGGAGGTTTTTATGGGGTAAAATGGGGTTTTCTCATTTTTTTCCCCTTAAAACATAAAATTTATCAATTTTTCTCCGGACCTTTTTAAAGAGCTTAAAAAACAAATAATTTAGTATATCAACGTGTTTTTGTACGGTTATAGGTTACGGAGAAAATTCAAAAAATTGTTTATTTAAAATTCCCATACTTATTCAGAATATTCTTATGGAGAATATTGTAAAATGTTATAGTTGGCTTGTTTAAGGATATATTTTGTTTAAACTTGGCAGATTTATTTATTTTATACTAAGCTATTAATATTTTAATAAAAACACACTTTATTAGTTTTCCTGTAGGAACAAACCTACTCGTTAAACATAAATGTTAATTTAATAGATTAATTGAAAATCAAGTCAGGCGAATGGAAATTTGCTCAGTCGGCAGGTTTGCTGCAGGGGGGTATTTGTATTTTTTCTGTTATTATTAAATTCAGTTTTTGTTCAAACATTTTTAAGTATCGCTTTTATTATTTTAAAACAGAAATATGCTTTAGTGGCGAAGAATGCAACATTTTAAATTATTCATACACGTTTCTACAGGATAAACATTTAATTTTACATACTATCATGACAAAAGAACTATCTACTATTAACCAAAGATTTTCGATCAACAAGCTATACTTCTAAACAAGTTCAATTAAATCACACAACTGCATGAACAGAACCTTAAACCTTCAATAAACCAGAACGTAACATCGTTCAGTTTTGACTCTTTTGATGAAACTCTTATAGATTTCAGTTTCAACTTTGTAGTTTACATTTTGTATTTCTTCTGTTATGATTAAATTCAGTTCTTGTTCTTACTTTTAGAGTGTTGCTTTTATTAGTTGAAAAGTGAAATATGCCTAGAGCAAGTCAGTGTTGATGAGTGATGAGTGTTTCGTGTTGGTGACGTTTGAGTACACTGGTATCAACTCAATGTTTCACTCTTATTTATTTAAGGGTTGGTTTTCAAATTTGTATGCACTCTTTTTCTGCCTAACAAGACTACAAGATCGTGCCACTCATCATACACTCATCTCCATTCATACTTGGCTTAAAATACCTATTTTGTATGGTCGCCATTTCATTGAGAAGTATTAAGTATTAAGTTTACACAACTTTGACAGCTGTATTTATAATAAATTGAAATTCCACTGGAACTTAAATAATAAAAACCAAAATTAGTTGTAAAACATGTGAGTTTTATCGTTATATTGCTTTTACAATCGAAATAAAGTATTATACCGAACCATGGCTCGGTTCTCCAGTACTACAAATTAAATAAACGAGCTGTTGGCCCGTCCTACGTACGGGAGTTGAGCAGTCCATTAAAAATACATTTATATCAATATGTCTATTCCTAATTCAAGCTTAGTTTAAGCAGTTCCAAATTTATTGTAAATAAAAAGCTACCAAGATGAATTAAAACTTGTGATCGTTGTTACTTTCCCAACCTTTCCTCAAAAAGTCAAATAGTAAAATCATTTTCATAAGTTTCTTTTCAAGAATTGTGAGCTTTGGTTCGTATACAGCAATGGTTATAGAATCTTACTTAATTTCTATAATCAATGACAAAATCACAGAGTAAACAAACTAACCTCATAGTTTTATAGAATATTTTATATTCAACCAGCTGTTAGTTAAACAAATTATATGACACTAAAACAAATCAAAGATTGCTTTACAAAATAATTTAATCTGTCATCCTCTTACCGAAGAATTGAACGTATCAATGATCAGTATTACACATAGTATAAATAAGTCAACCCTTAGTATGTCTTTTCATTTTGATCCAAATGCTGAATTTGTGTCACAAACGTTGAATGTTTACAACTGTTACGTTAAGCAAATTAATTATAGTCTAGAACGTTAGCGTCGGCTGCTAGACTTTGTAAAAATTAAAACTTAATTTCTAAAAAACTGGGACCCTAAACTAAAATTATGGCTTCGACATTCCCTAGTTCTTAAAATTATCTTTCTTTTAACACAAAAATCATGAAAATCTGTCAAGTGGTTGATTCAGAATCGTGAAATAAAAAACCCCTGTCACGTTTTAATATTATAGATCGGAAATTTAAATGAGCTTATACCTATCTACAGTTACTTCTTTGTATAATCCTTTTGTCTGTTTTTTCTGGACTTAAGGGGTTTTTGAACACGCCTCCACTGTTCAAGCTCTCAACATTCTAAAACTAATTTGTTTCCAATGATTATGTGCTTGATGTGCTCTTAACATACCAGAGCTTGCAGTTGGGGTAGCAAAAATAATTCTTAACTATTTAGACGTCCCATCTATATGGACCAGCTGTAGCCAATTTCTTTTTAAAAGAACGTAGTTGTGTGAGATAGTCACAGAATGTGATAGTGACTAAAACACTATTTTCTACTTTATTTTTGTTGGTGTCCAGGTTGATGGGTCATAACAGTTGCTATAGCTCACAATAAGTCATTCCATTAGTTCCAATTGTTAAAAAAGATTGTGTATTCGACAGAAATCAGTAATTTAGATCAGCTCAATCTGTCGGTGGCTCACATCAACTACGACAATTATGGTTAAAAAAATTTCTACAAATTGAACATGGGGATGGAATTTCTAGTTGTGGTAATAGTCAAAGCTATTATTTAGGAGATAAAATTGTATGTGAAAAAGACTAATCTACGGATTTTCAAAATGATTTTGTAAATACTTAAAACAACAGTTACGAAGTTTCAGTTGAACCCGTGCATAGTTTGGATCTTTGTAAATATTTTACAGTTTATTTTAACTCGATAAACACTTTAATAATGCCAGGAAGTTATTTTTTGTAGGACAATGTTTACGTGGTAAACAGCGGACGGGTGGACTAAACCGTTTTTGGATAGAACATACCCGATTCAATAATCTATTATATATATTGACATTTTTATCCATAATTGTATCACTCTCTTCTTAACATTAACCACTACAAATACGTCTAGCGATGTATAAAAAGGGGTATAAAGGGGTGTCAAAACTGTTTATTCTGTTTATTATAACTGTTGTCCCACGAACTGTCTGTTTTAGGTATCTGTTGAGGTGGACAGTGACTTCAAATGTACAGGAGCAATCATCAATGTGTACTGGGTAGCAGCCGTCTCTTCCTGTCTTCAGAAGTAAGGGATTTAACGTGCTTTTCAAAGTATTGATTTATTTAATAACTAATAATTAGTAAAAGTAAACAGTTGGGTACAGCGTTCCTAAAACTTCCCCTCCCAATAAACTGTATACTTATGATGAATTTCTAGCACACATTTAAATTTTATGTACAAGATTGAGGAAATGTTTCCTAACACAAGATAATTTTTATTAAAAAAATGTTTCTTCAGTTAATTAGGATCCTTAACGACTATCACAATCCGCTAATACTATAAACTCGTGACACCCGGTAGTGAGAGTGTTAAGTTTGAATCATAAGTTTCTTTTAAAAAAAATATGGTCTTATTTTTGTTTCCTAACGTACCAATGAACTAAAAAGTATAGCTTCATGCTGAACGTACGTAATAGTAGTTTACGCAACGATTTCGTAGTATTAACGACACGAGTAGAAATTTAAGGTACGAGCCTTGGCTAATGCCTTAAAAACTTCTGAGTGTCGTTAACACTATTTACGCGAGTTACGTACACCTTTGACCATTTTTAATTACTAATAATCACTACTCATAACTCCTAAGAGAGTTATGTTGGTAATGAGAGGTTTTTGTTTATAACCTCTCACTGCCACTGACAGTGATGCAACGAAACGTTGTACCAAAACATACTCCTTGTTTTATCTATGATAGGACTTTGCCAATGGGTTGAAATTTTAATGAAGTAATTGAGCCTTCGTGGATTTCGAGTAGTTATTGTTCATCCTATAACAAAGCAAGGTTGATCCGCAGTGCTTCTGCCAATAAGGTGATTGTAAGGGCCGCCACGAGAGCTCCCCTCTGGCGGGGATCAGCACACAGAGTTCAGCAGCTAGTGACGTCCCCCCCTTGTAGCTCAGGTCATCTCATCTTGTTAAAGGTTAGATTTTGAAAGTATACCATTCTTGTTCTCTGTAGATGCTATCATTGACTATTGGATACTGAAGTAGACATCCCATTATAGTTATCATTCCATCATTAGCTGTCGCCATTTTAGTTTTTTTGAGAAAAGGACGTACAGTCACAGAATTCGCTAGTGTCTAAAATTCTATTTTACAATTTTTGTTGTTGCTGGCCATGTTTTGGTGATGGATCATAACAGTTGCTATAGTTTGCCAGAAGTCATCCCCTAAGTTTGACTTGTTGTTTGTTTGTGTATTTGACAGAATTTAGTAATTATTAGTTCAGCACAATCTGTAGGTGGCTAACATCAACTACGATGAGTTTGATAAAAAATCTGGCTACAAATTTAACTTGAGGATGAAATGTCTAAGTCAAAGATACTACTAACTGTAGAAACTCCTGTGTTCTTTAATTAGTGGTGGTAACACTGTACTAAACAGTTTTCTGAAGTAACGAATATAAGTACGATTTTTTCTTATTGTTTTCACCCCGTTATAAGACGTGGTAATGCTGTGTCAGTTTGAGATTATAATTATTTAAATGAACAGGAAACTCAAACTGTTTCAAATAAAAATGTATTCCAATTCAATAGTACGATATATTATTTTAAAATTTAATAAAACATTGATGTTTTTACGATATCATACTAATGAAAAATGGGGAAAAGTAGAAATCGTACTTCAAGTGTGCAAGACCTTTCTAACCATCTTAAATTATAAGTGTTTTATTTATCTACTTAGTCTTGCAACCTTAACCTTATATCTTATGTTTCCGTCGCATTAATAACTTGGTGTTTCCCATATAACATCCCTTATATTTAAACTTTATTTATAACAAGCCTCCAGGATTGATTAAATAACATAAATAAAGTTACTGACCTGTCATCAATCAATCCTATTGATTCTAGTGGATTACAAGTTTCAGGGTTTTAACCCCATTTTCTAATCCTTTTGACCCTGGTTTTTCCTTGGCCGGCCTCGTGTATTGTACATTTTGTAAAAGTAAATCTCTCTTTGTGTTTGTGTGTGTTTATTCGTTATGTGTAAAGTGTTTTTTTTTAATTCTACAACTTCAAGTGCTGAGTAATTCAAGTTTGAAGAGAAGGAATTTAAATAAATTGGAAAATGGGGTTATAACCCCGAAACTAGTAATCTACTAAAATCAATATAATAATTGATTGACGACGGATAAGTAACCTTTAACCGTTTGTCGGGAGAACCCACCTTCCCTCATGGGTATTCGAGAATGTGAGATTGAGTGGCTTTATACCATCCCCTTACAACAAACTTCAAGATGGCAAAAACGCCAAAATAAAAATGTAATCATCTATGCCTAGGGATTTATAAGAAACATTTCTGTTCTGATAGTTCAAACCATAATCGGCAAAACAACAGAAACCATGGCACCCTATGTGACCCTGTTTGACCGTGTCATTTCAGGCTTGATAATGGTTGGATTGATGGTTATAGATTTGTAGAATAACTTGCGAAGTAACTAACAACTGTACTCATACTTCCAGGTGTTTAACAAATTCAAATTCAACGGAAAGACCCGGCCAGTGACGATGTTGCCGCGTACACCCTCTTCAGGAGACATCGGCTGGGAGTCTACGTGGCCTTGTATTCAGGTTGTTAACATTGTTTGTTTTCAAAACGTTAGTTATCTCTCTTAAAAGTATTTTCAACGTTGTAACTATTTTTAGTGGATTTCCCATATCGAAAACGGTAAGAATTATAGAAAAGCTTAAATGCTTAATTAAAAGCTTTAAACATTCCTTAATTTTTTGTGGCAGTTAAAAATAGGAGTTTTGTTTTCCGAAATTCAGTTACCATTTTCCAATATGGCGGCCAACTTTGAAATTTCTTATGGAACACCCTATTATTATGTTTATAGTTTAGTAGTTAGTAAAACGATCTAGAGAGAAATTGGGAATTTTTTGTTTTGAGGGTCAAAAATGAGCAGAAAACCCATTTTTTATTCCATAAACCCCCCCCCCCTTAAACCCCCGTTCCCATGTTCCAATCATGCTGGTTCGCGAACTCATTCAAGTTTATCCCGCCTTACACCTTTAAAACAAACTTCATCAAAATCGGGCAAAAATTACTCAAGTTATCGCGTCCACGGACGTATATTTTTTAACGTGTTTTTTTGTTGTAATACAATTATTTAGTTTAGAGCTTAGATTGATTGAATTTCTGTGCTTAGAATTAAAAAGTGCAATAACTTAGAACAATCTTTACAATACTTTTAGACTGCTGATATTTTTAACTCTTCCCCCGATCATGGATCTATAGTCTATTCGGGGGAATAATTTCTTGTACTAGAAGATGTATTGTAATGATTACCGTGCCACCTACGGTAATAGCTACTTCCCCATAGGAAAAATTCACTAAAAATGTCTTCCTTTATTTTTTTTTTTTTACTTTTCTTTACTAATTCAAAACCCATTTATTTTGACATATTGTAACTTCTAATTAGCATTTTTCACCAAGTATCCTTTTGGTTTGCTGTTATAAAAAAACTGTGAATACAAATTGTAGAGCATAACACCCTCTTTCAAATACACTAAAAAGGTTTACCTAAATATTTTGGCTATCCTACTCAAGAACCAGTATAAACTTTTGCCACATTTTCACTCAGTCAATTTCAATAGTCAAATTCAACGGCACTCGGTCGTGTTTGTCACATTTTCCATAAAGTTCCAAAGTTTTTTTAACGTTGTGGATATAGTAGTCTGGATCAATCAATAGTTAACATTACAACTAGATTTACAGGTGTTCAAGTTCATCTTCAATAACTGGTAGTGTATTACTGCACCCAACTCCTGCACAGTGTCCGCACATTTGAGACCAGGATAAGGCGCTTCTTCGGCACAAACAATACTTCTCGCAATTGCCTGCATGAACTGTGTATACGATACTCCCTGGTGTGGATTAACGTCCGCACTAGTGAGTACTACGACTATCCGCAGAACTTCTGCGGATAGTCGTAGTACTCACTACAGAACTATCATCCTGATAATTACACCAATTAGTTAATACCAAGGTAAAAATGAGGTTCGGATTCCCCTATAAACTGTAGTTCCCTTAGTTGCTATTAGCTGTATGGGATGTTAATTTGTTAATTAATAGCCTTAAGACACAGAGCTGTGTCTAAGGAACATGTCGGCCTTAGTCACTAACAAGATCGACTACAAGATCACAACACAAGACAACAAGATCACACAAGACTACAAGATCGTAACACTCATCCTACACTCATCTCCATTCATACTTGGCTTAAAATACCTACTTTTTATGGTCGTCATTTCAATGAAAAGTATTGATAAAGAAGTACTCCCCAGCTGCTGCAGTATCGTCTTGAGGAGTATCTTCATGTATCTTCAGTATCTTCATGGAATATATAATACTGACGAATTCCTTAAGTCCTGCATTGTCTTGGAGCTTCTTCCAAGCTCCTTTCTTTCCCTTGTTCAGAGGTTGTACCACAACCTTTGAATGCTTGTAGCAGGAAAAGAAAATGTCGTAACTCGCCTAAACCCTCTTGCAGTTTCCCAATATTGAAAATGCGTTCAGGTTTGTTTCCTTTGGCAGGAATGAGAATGAATACGTTGCATCCAGCGAAAGTAATCTACAATACAAGAAGATCTGTGCCTTGTCCCACTAGTACCAGAGTCTTGGTAGGGGCAATATGCAGAGCTGTTGAAACAATGAGAGTGTCTGCGTCAGATGTAGCTTGAGAGACCTGGCATCCCGTGGCTGTGAGGTATATACTTAATAGTGCAATGAATCTTGATTTGTTGGTGGGATTAGCACGGATCACTTTTTGAAATGTCGGTATTACTAAATCATCCTCTACAATCATATCAACGGAAGCAAACGATCCAGTTCTTCTTTAATGTTCAGAGTATTTGGTGCTTGATTCCTCATACCCGTCAAAAATAATATTGCATTGGCCATATTTTCTCCTAACAAATTTGAGGAGTAATGGTTGCACATCTGCATGTATGTGCCGAAGCGAATCCTTTTAATGTGGTGTATTATGTAGCCTCCGTCGATTGTGTAATATGCGCCATGAGGAACTTATTGGTCTTCAGATGGTCCATACTGGCCAAGTAGTGGAACTAACGAAACAATATAACAATTTATTTATAACAATATAAAGTTGTCATATGTTAGATATATGTTATAATGTTGTGTATAATATTTTGTCATGTAAAATTAATTGCTGATTTTTATGTCTGTTACACTAAATGTTACTATGTTTCACTAGGAATTGAGACTGATAAAAAATATCAATACAATATCAGACTAAAATATTGTTTGTAGAAAGAATCAAATAATAAACTAAGTAAAAAACTTTGTTTTTTATTTTTAAATATATTTTCAAGATAGGCAAGTGTTTAGATTGAAAACAACAGAGAACTGGCAGCATTGGCGGCTGTGACGAAAACGGCTGGGCCGCCGGCGCGGCGACCGGCGCGGTCGCCTGAGCAAAAATATATCGAACGCTTCTATTGGATAACAAATCATAATATCATTTCCTTTCTACGTAACACAATAATGTTTGAAGTACTAAATGACCAGCAATGACGGTTCCAAGTAAGGGATATAGGTAGCTATCGCCCCCTCCCCCCCCCCACCCACATTGGACCCTGGAAATAATAATTTTTATTATAACCTGTTACAAAATGGGCACTCACTAGGAAAAATGGAGGATAGTCTAGATATTTTAAAGAATTGTAAGAAAGGATATGTAATGAATGCTTGGGAAGAATTATTGTATATTTATAAGGAAAAATGTAAAGATAGAAATAGGTTGATTAATGAACAAATACATTTTGATTCCAGTTGTACTTATAAAAATGTATTGGCCGGTGCTTCCGGTAGCCAATAGGGTATAAGTAGGGACGCCATTCAAGATTCTTGTCATTCGCCTATTGGGTCTGATGATGATTGGAGTGTCCAATCGAAATTGATCACCACTTACCATCTTTTTTGTATATTTACCGTCTTGTGAGTAACAGTATAAGCGTAAATATATGTTTTAAGTGTTATAAGACGTTTCTTTTATTTACTTTCCGTAATAATTTTTAAACTTACATTCCGTAATAATTTTTAAACTTACATTCCGTCATAAAAACTTAACGGAGGTTCTCGGACTCAGTTCTAGACGTTAAACTGGCTTTAAAAACCACAAAGCGGCTTTAAAATAGTAGATATTCTGGGGGAGGACCCTCAAGCCCCCCCCCTGGTGAAGAACACCCCGGTTAGCCCCCCCCCTCTTGACAGGGTCCTAAAACCAGCATTGGTAACCAGTTACATAGCGTGGGTAGTGCTAACAAAATCTGTGAATAGTGTGTTCTCTCATATTATATTATGTGATGATAAAAGAATATCTGGCAATAAACCTTCATATCCTGGTAATGGAGTTATGTCGGTCGTCAGTTTTCAAGCCGTGCACGCGCTCTAAATGTTTTCGTGTATTCGTGTTTTCGTGTGTCCGTCCTGTACATATATGTGTATTATTTATTCAACCCTTGACGCAATGCAAATGAAGAAAACTCGTGTTAAATGTGACAAGACTATAGTTTAGTGTACCACTACGCAACTGACGATGGAGTCATCTCCGAAACGGCCGTAGTGGAATATTACCCCTGATTGCGTTGACGGTAAGAACCATAGACATTATTATTATATTTTCACGCAATCTGCCACACTCACGAATATGATTTTTTTTATAGTTTTATTGTACAAAAATTATATTCGATGACTGTGGAAAATTGATAACATGATTTATAAGGTTAGCAACATTCATTTTTACAGATTCAAACTTTATTTTACATTATAAGCTTTGTTTTTATGTTAAGAGTTTTTGCATGAGACATTTATGTCAAAAAATCTATTTTATTCGATTTGAATAGTAAATTTTGCTACATTTATAAATTTTACTAGCTGGCCCGATAGACGTCGTCCTGTCCTAATGGGGGTTTATGTCAAATGTTCGTTCATTTTCAAGATAAGCTCTTTCGAATCGCTCAATCACGTCCTGGTTGAAGTTCGTTAGCCACGCTTACTCGCCTTTAGGTAGAAGCTCGTTCGCTGCGCTCACTTGCCTTCAGGTATAGCTCGTTCACTACGCAAACTCGCCTCCAGGTTGAAGTTCGTTCGCTACGCTCACTCACCTTTTAATTCCAAATTAGCTGTTGTCATATATGTCAAAAAATAATAGTGTTGTACCCTGTTGGTAAACCTATTAACTTTTTAATGCTATTGAACATCACAGAATCAAATTGTTTAGTTTAGCCAGCTGTTAAGATTCTTTAATTCCATTTAAATATAAGTACTCATAAGGTTAACATGGGAAACTTCAGAGCCACTGGGGCGGAACCCTTTCGACGGATCTGCACCAAACTTTACACAAACCATCCTTGAATAATGCTTAATAATCCCTGAAAGTTTCATTCCAATCTGTCAAGCGGTTTTGGAGTCCATAACGTTAATATATATATATATATATATATGTACAAACTTCCTCTTTTATAAATATAGATTTATGTTTGTAAATATATTGCTGTGGGCTTTATCTACCCTTATTTTTCTGGTGATATCCAGGACTCATCATATACAGTTAGACACACACACGTACACACATCACACGCAATCGTCCAGGAGATCAAGTACGTCAAAAATATTTACAAATGAATAATACCTCACCTAAAAGCATGTCATTTCACAAAAATTATTTATGTTTACGGAAATGAGGTTTTCATGACAAAAAATATGGTTATTGTAAAGAAAAATACACATCTCTCTCCTACAACTTACAACTTATATATTTAAATATATATACTCCCAAGTAGCACACATCGTTGGCCCAACGTTGGGAAATGGTCGGCACGGTTGGGAAATGGTTGGCAGAATTTTTAACGATTTGCCAACGTTGGCCCAACGGAAACTGGTATTCGTTGGCCCTACAAAGGAAAGAATCGTTGGGCCTTCGTTGGGCATTCGTTGGGTTTAAGTATAAAACATTCTAAAACGAATTTTAACAAATTGATTTATTTAAAAGTACATAAATGTTATGGCAGCAGAATATAAGACAAATATTGTAAAAATTTGGATCAATAATGAATGTAGTCAGATGATGTTGTGATACTAGATACAGTGGGGAACACCTGCTTAACATATAATAATTATTATAATTCATTTTTTTAAATATTCTTTAACTTATTTAAGCAAGTTTTTAATAGTTATAGAGAAAAGATTATTAATTATAAAACAATCAATTTTATAACAGTAGCCTACTAATCTAATGGTAATTAAATAATCTATATTCAAATACTAGTATCCTCTCCAACTACCAGAAAAACAATTCAACTACTTGAGGCCTAAACAGATTAACAGAATCATATTATACTGCAGCATCAAAAATATAAAGTATTAATTATTGTGACCATTGCACCTGTCGGCTACTCTTTCACCACTTGAAAACACTCTTAATCAACAAGCACAGTTAGCTCAGAGGTGAGGCATGAGGCTCACAAGTCGAAGGTACCGGGTTCGAGACCCGTCCCGGCCAAAAAATTTTATCTCATTTTATTTTCAAAATAAGTTTTTATGAACTATTTAATCAATTTACTCAACTCATAATTATGCTTTTCATACAAAATCTTTATTATTTTGTGTTTTTTATGTTTATGCCCAATGGGATGGTTGGCCCTTCTGCAAAAATTGGTTGGTTGGCCAACCGTAAGACTGAGTGCCAAAACATACCGTTGGCCAACGATCGACAGAAACGTTGGGCCAACGATTTGCCAACGATTTTTGCTACTTGGGCTACTCTCCTTGACTCTACCACAATTGATTCTTTACAAATTTTGGTTGCCCCTGGGTTGGAAGAACTAGTTAATAAAATAAACAACAGAGCGTTTGGCAGTGATGGAAGCTTGATGTTAAAATGGAAGTTTTGTGGGCCCTGCAGAATAAAATTATTCCCAGAGATCCTTAGGGGACGTTCCTGATACTGCTTGACGTTCTTCCAAGCTGAAATAGATCTTAAAAGTACACTGAATTTACTTTGCTCACTACCACACTAAATCTAGTGTTGCACTTTCAATGTGAATCTTTTGTAGTGGCCTTTTGTTTACTGTATTTCACTAAACCTTTATTGAATGAATTTTAATGCTAATAATGAAATACCAAGGATATTAAGAACTATAAAATGTATAACAATTCTATTTATTGACCCAAAATGACAAGAATGACAGCCGATATATGGATTATCAAAAAAGGATGTATTATTTTTGACTCTAATAACAATAAATGTGCGTCAGATCTCAGATTCTGAGTGCAAGAATCATAAATATATTTTTTTTTATTGTGAATGTACCCCTTGAGAGAGAAGTGTGTGGCACGGTTACACACCGACTCCAAATATGTCAACTGAGGTGTGAAATTTTACGTTAATTTGAGATGACCAGTACTTGCAAATCCTTTCGTTGGCCAACGACTTAAAAAGTGAAGAGCATGTCTCGTAGTCCAACCTGGTTAAACAGTATTTCAGTTTGAACGCAGTAAAATGTGATGAAAGATTGCTAATGATTTTATTGCTAAAGAGTACTATGGTGGTTCATCTATCATCAAACACACGCTACCCCAATTAACACTTCCGTGTCTAGTCGAACCTGCTGCATATCTCAACTTTCAATACTACTTTATTTCCCCAAAATCAAAATAATGGCTGTTGCACTCTTAATTAATATTCGATTGAATATTGTAGCAAAATTAAACAATAACTCTGTTTACGAATATGTAGCAATAAAATAATTTACAATTTACATTAAATACAAATATAAAACCCTGTACAATTTAATTAGTTCGATAGAATAAGATAATCACAGTTTGCTATATAATACTGATTGACTTGCTAAAAATGGATACTAAAATTTTCAATTTGAACTTGATCTTGAAAACATGTGCTTTTATAACAAGATATAACAAACTATAACGGGAAAATTTTACACATGTGCGACTCACTGAAACTATAACTATTACAATATAAAACAATGATTACTTACAAATTTGGACGTCCGACACTTAATAACACACAGGGGGTAGGATGGCAAAACTAAATTAAGTGAGCTATTCCAAAAAACGCGATTGATTGGTTTCGAACGTGAAATTTCCAATGGCGGTCTGTATTAGTCCAGGGAAACACTTACCGGCGAAACCGCCGAGCGCCGGATCCGGTGGATCCGCCGGAGGTTGAGGGTCAGAACACACTTGTTCCGGCAAAAACTATTTTTCCGGAGCCGGCGACAATAAATAGAGTGCAATGAACTCTGAATGAGTTTTGTATTACACTAGTACAGTTCTAGTACAGTTTAGTATTAGAAATGGAGCTGTCAAGACCTCAAAAGTTGGCCTTGCTGTGTTTGATCCACCACAGAAGGAAGAGAAAACACCACCGAACTGTTTGAGTGCATCCTATTCTGGAGATCAGACAGCTACATGGAGCTTTTTACACTCTATTTTTACAGTTGAGAAATGAATAAAATAAGTTTTTTAATTATTTTCGAATGTCTGTCCCCTCATTCGACGAGCTACTATCGAAGATTACAGTGCAAATACAAGGACAAAACACATACATGAGACGCTGGAAAGGCTGAAATCAGTGCGGCACAAATTTGTCGCCAGCTGCTGCTGTCCCTCGTTTTGATTTTGTCTTTGTAAATTTCCAAAGACCTATCACAAAGTTATGGTTTCTCATGAACCAAACTATAAAAAAAAAGTTCGGCCGCTTAGAAAACGACCTGCGCGCTAATGCTAAACCAATGCTGGAGGAGGTCGCTTTCTAAGCGGCCGAACTATAATATGTAAATCCATATCAACATCTACCATGATGATATAGAAAACTAAACAGACTAAAAATAAAAACTAAATGAACTAAATAGCAAAACAAAACTAAATACACCACTTGGACACTGCATTAAAATCATAAACAACCAAACCTCGAGGGTTGAACCACTACTGAGGAGTGGGGTCAGTGGCAGTCCGGCTGTTTCGCTGGTAAGTGTGTTCATATCCATAAGGCACCATGCCCCCGGGGCTAATGTATTCTATAGCCCCGCCATGCCCCACTACCCACTGCTCCGGCGAAACCGCCGATCCGGCGGTCCGGCAAGGTAGAGAATATCCGGCGGTTTCGCCGGAGCATTTTCCCGCCGGATCGGCAGATTGGCCGAACCGGAGAAGTGTGGCCTGCCCCATGCCTTCCTGTGTATCTCAACTTGCTCCGGCGCCGCCGGATCCGGCGTCCGGCGGCTTCGCCGGTAAGTGTGTCCCTGGCCTATCTATTAGCCGGCAAGTTACTTTATAACACTTTGTTCTCAAACAGATTTTATTACCACCTCGCGCTGCAGTTATATCCCTTCGGGATATAGGCTTAACGATTTGATGAAAATAATAAATGACCGACTAACACCGCGAATGAATTTAATTTGCACGGAACGAAGTTTAGCTCACCTAATCGCACAGGAAGGGAAGGCAACTCTGAGCTGAGCAGACGAACAGTGTCTCCGTGGCTGGGCCGGCAGTTCCCCCTTCCACTCGCATCACGTGCATTGTGGGTATGATTTGCCTATTGTCTTGTCTAATCAGCTGACTATTTGTTCCCGTCTACACATATTAATTTGTCGTAAAATACGACAAATCGGTACATTATCTTAGGGTTCAGTTTTCAGTCTATAGTAGGTTTTCCGTGCCACCTATGGTAAAAGTGTAAATTAACCTTCTTCCCTGTAGGGGAAATTCACTAAAAAAAACTTTGTGTTGCAGGTTCCTTACAATACAATTTCACAAAGACCTATCACAATCTTAGAGCCTTCATTCTGCAAAGAGATTACGACTGATCCTGAAAATGTGTGCGTATTTGGAAAACATAGGCTTTGGACAAATCCCAGCTTTTGCCAAGTTAGTACTCGTATGATAGATGTATACATAATGTCCCTTAATCAGACCTACGTACAAAAATGTAGCAATAGGTTTAATGGGCCAAAATAAAATTAAAACTAAGAGTTTGATTAACGCCTCATTGGTGAGATGGGGTTTTAATTTTTATCTTAAAAACTATTTTAGATATATTTATAATATTTTGTGCACTAATTAATTCATCAAGTCAAAAACTTATTCATAAAAAATACTCATAAAACATTCTTTCTGCTTAAAACTGCGGACATTTTAATTTGTATAACCATTGTATATAACTTATAAATTTCTACAAAATTTCCGATTTTAAGAAAAAGTTCATAGAACACTGACTTTTACTTTAGCATTTGAACTTTTCAATCAAACGACATCAAGTTTAAAAATATTGAATCATAAATATCTGAGAAATCAATTTTTTATGAACAAAATTAGGCAAACCCCTCTGCTTAAAACGGCTTTTTGCCTGGCTGTACAGTACCAAATATCATGATTTCTTAGCTGTTTATTTTACCTTTTTGAATTTGGTATCGTTTGATGTAAAATGCTAAACAAAGTAGCCTATGATCCTTTGGTTATTTCAGTTATACAAATTTTAATCGCAGTCTTTTTAAAATAAAAAATAAAAAAATCATTAGTTTTTCTGAGAAAGCATTTCACTACCGTAGCTCTAAATTAGTATGAAAATTATAAAAAAAACTTAAGTACTCTTTTAACCCATTTTAATTGTCAACCAATCAAGCTGATAATTCAAATGAGTTAAAGGGTACTAATGTTTTTATAATGTTTCCAACTATATCACAGTTCGTGTTTGTGTTAACATGATTTGTGTTCAAAAAGAGAGATTTTATACGTATTTTCTGTTAATATCCAAAGTGTTCTACGAGTGACGTGAACAGTCGTAAGTGACATTTACTTATATCTATGAATGAGTAATTACACGTTGGTTTGGTAATAAATTAATTGAAAGTAGGGTTAAGCAAAATAAGTAATTACATTTCACTGATACGAAGTAAATAAAAGTAAATAAAATAATCGCATAATCAGAATACCCAAATACGTCCCAAAAAAACCTATAAATTTCCAAAGTTCGAATAATATTCCCACATCCGGCAACACTAAAACAAAGCATGCCATACTTCAATTGATTTTATAATAGCCAAGCTTACTATAAATAGAGAACATTTATTTTTTATTTTGTTGCAGAATACCGGAGCTTTGGTGGTGGTCCAAGACCGATTGGCAGGGTTTGTCTTAAGATCTTACAACTCCACCGTAGACATTTGCCTGCAAATCATCCCATATATTCCATGGATTGTACAAATCGTCTTTGGAGGACATTAAAATGTTTTTTTAGAGGTTAGATTATTTCCCTTGATTCCGTGATTTTACAATTTCTTTTAAGTTTGAATTTGTTAGAAAAAGTCTCCAAATCTCCAAATTTTACATAAAACATCTCTTAAGTATGGAAATTGTGGTTCAAAAGTTATCACATTTTCTGTAATTTTTCTCATAAAACCTCATAGAATAACGGAAAAATCTGATTTTTTTAAAGCCTTTTCCGTTATTTATGGTCGAAATCCGATATTTCCGTTATTCTATGTGCCTTTATGGGAAAAAATTACAGAAGCTGCAATGACAATTAGGAACCATATTTTTCAGGATTTCGGCCATATAATAACGAAAAAAAAACTTAAACTTAACAATGTTGATTATTCAAATGTACTTATTGTATGTTATTACTAGCAGAGTACCCATCCTTCGTACGGGGTTGGCATAAGGATCAAATGCTTATTGCAGTTATATTCAATCTTTGCGTTTGCAATGAGGGAGGACACAGTTTGATAAAATTTGCTTCTTTTAAATTTACAGTATTCAATAGATTAACAAAAATTCACAAAATATCACAAGTTATTAATGAAATTAAAAACATAATTATAACTGTAAACAATCCTACTTTGACAGTTAGTTCTCATTGCGTATCACAGTTATTTGTTGCTGCATAATTCAAATTAGCTGTTGAACCATGCCCTCGCGCCTGCACCCAGACTAACGAAATGGAAGCGTGATCCATGCGCAGGCCCGAGGAGCGGCTCACAAAACTTTACTTAACAAAATGAGAACCATGGATGGAGGTTCAAGAACAACACGCCATTTGAGAGAAACGAGCTGTAATTACCATTTAAAAAAACACAACAACAAAATCAACAACAATACATGAATTACTCTCAATTAAACTTAAAAAAAATTTAGATACCCATCTAAGCTGCTGACTTACAGTCATTTCTTTTATTATTCGAAATATAGGCTAAAAAAGACGTTACTAACTTTTACCTTAAAAATTCTTTTAAATTAACAATATATAACAATAAATATAAAAATGTCTTCTTAATACTGTCATTTGATCTGGTAACTATAACATTTTTAGGGGCCCCAAAAATGAATTTAATAAAAATTTTTAGTGTAAATTGTGACAACTGAATAAATCTATAAATATTTTTTTTGTTTTAAATAACGATAAATTGGCTTTAAAAATCTTTAACAGTACATAAAAATCTAAACATTAATTAACAAGAAATAACAATAGGAACTTGCGGTAAGGCGGTAACTGTTCTAGGGCATTTCAGTCGCTAGGTGGAGGGGCGATGAAACCGGGCAGAGAGGGAGCATCCCAGAGTCCGAACGAATGGCTCCAAGTTGTAGGAAGATTCTCTGCCATAGTTGAATGGTCCATCTCCTGGGTTGACGGTAGTCCTCCTGGGCCCCAAAAGGCGCGCAGGGCACTCTAAATTGCAGCATTACCTCGCAGACTAAAACCAAGTTAAAAAACTTACACAACTTGGCATTTTTAACATTACGAAAATGCGATTCAAAACGATGAAAATCAGTCTGCGAGGTTAACTCGTAGAACGTCGCGCAGCCTATGACAAACCCGGCACCGGGGAGAAAACATGACGCATTGAGTGAAGCTTGAACAGTAACAAGGCAAACAACAAACTAACCTACTATACAAAAACACTTTGACCATAGATCATGAGTCGTGACATTCGCCGGTGGAAAGTAGTCACGGCTCAACCTCCCTCCCCAAAAGAGGACACTCCTCTCCAAAGGGACAAACAAACAAGCCTCTCCCCCACTTCCTGATGAGAAATTGACACGAAAGACAACTCAGGTGTCTGTGGTGGGGAACGCCAAGGGACTTCCAAACTGAGGGGAAAACTCACCCCCAGGGTTTGATCTGGCCAGATCTGGAAAATTTAATGAGGGAAATACCTTCGCAGAACACGGGGAACAGAAGAAGTGATCAGGTTCCCTGGCCCAGTGCACTTCCCACCCAGACACAAGAGGAAAGAAAATTGCCTACGGAAGAGTTCCACGGAAGGGCTTGAGATGAGAAATGTGCGACCTCCGGAAAACTTTTCCAGTCCGTGGATCTCCTAGCTCCGCCGTGACAGGCGTCAAAAACCTCAGGATGTGGTGGGGACCTGACCACCGATGACACAACTTGGCAGCTCTCTTGTCCACAGCCGAACTGGCCGGATGAGCTTTACAAAACACCAAATCCCCCACCTGGAAAGGGTTGTCTATTCTACCACGATTGTGCTTCCTCCGGACCAATTCCCTAGCTCTGATCAAATTTCTCCTGGCCGCTTGCCAAGTTGCCTTGACATCAGCCGCACCAGGAGGCGGCAGAAGGTCGCCAATTCCCCACACATTCGCTAACGGGTTGTTAGGCGGATAGCCTAGAAACAGCTCGAAAGGGACCGCCTTGTGACTCTCATGGTGAGCAGTATTGAAAGCAAACTGAAGCCAAGGGAGTTCCTGATCCCAGGTGGTCTGCTTGTCAGCATGGAAAGCTATGAGAGCGGAGCGAAGATTGCGATTGAACCTTTCAGCATGAGAAGGCTGTGGATAGTAAGGGGAAGTAGTCACATGGCGAATTCCGTGCCCAAAGCACATTCTTTTGAACAGATGGGAAACAAACTGTGTTCCGTTGTCGGAAACAATGGTGGCGGGTATTCCAAAATGTTGGAAGAGGTGTGTTCGAAGTACCTGCACGGTGAGCTGTGCAGTGGCATTCCTTAAGGGGAAAAGCCAACAAAACTTGGAGAAGGCATCCACACAAACAAGTAGGAACTTATTTCCTGACTTGCTACGCGGGAGAGGCCCTACATAGTCAATGAAAACCTTCTCCAAAGGTCTTTCCGCCACCTCAGATGACAACAAACCAAACTTAGAGTTTTGAGCGGGCTTGCTCAGTGAGCACGTTTGACAAGAACGCACCCTAGCAGCAAGATCCCGATCCATACCCTTCCAGATGAACATTTCCCTAACCTTCGCAATGGTCTTGTGGATACCTAGATGCCCACCCACAGGAGAAGAATGAAAATACTCAAAGACCATAGGGATTAGAAGACTAGGCAGCACAACTTTAGGTTTACCTCGCTGACGAGCACGACAGCAAAGGGCACCCTGGGACAGAAAATATGGGGGGTGGGCTCCCCCATTTTGAAGCTCATCAATGATCTTTGCCAGCTCAGGATCCTTCAACTGATGGGGAATGAAATCAGAGAAAGCGAGTGGAAACTCCAAGAGCACGGCACAACCCGGTTGCTCTTGGTCAGAAGGTTGATCGTCGGGTGAATGGTACATCCTAGATAGTGTGTCCGCAATCACATTCTGTGTGCCTCGAACGTGTTGCACTTGGAACTTAAGGGACGATATTTGGACAACCCAACGACCAATTTTCCCAAGCTGGCGTGGATGTGCAAGAAGCCACGAGAGTGCCTGGTTGTCGGTTTCCAATAAAAACTCTTTGTGCTCCAAAAAGCGTCTGAATTTATTGACTCCAAACACGACAGCCAAACACTCGAGTTCATACACAGAAGAACTTTTCTTTTCGCAGGGACTCAAAGTGCGTGAGGCGTACGCAATTGGCTGCCTAACACCATCCACCTCTTGTGACAACACAGCCGCAATAGCGACGGAGGAAGCATCAGTTTGCAGGACAAAGTTTTGATTGAAATCCGGCATCGCCAAAACAGGGGGCTGCATGATAGCCTCCTTGAGAAGGTCAAAAGACGTCTGCTGCGCTTCACCCCAGACAAACTTGGCGCCCTTCTTCCGAAGCTCATTGAGAGGAGCCGCCAATTCAGCAACATTGGGGATGAAACGTCGGTAAAAACCTACCATGCCGATGAACCTAGCAATACCCTTGACATCTCTGGGAGGAGGAAACTCCCTGATAGCCTGGGTTCTAGCGGGGTCGATGCAGACGCCTCTATGAGAGATAAGATGACCAAGGAACGAAATTTCCGGCTTAGCAAAACTAACCTTGTCAGGATTCACGGTAAGGCCAGCCCTATTCAATCTACTCATGACTTCTTCAAGATGAATCAGGTGATCTTCGAAACTCTCACTGTACACCAAGAGATCGTCGAGGTAATTGAACACAAACTTGAACTTGACATCATGAAAGATGGAATCAAGGAGTCTGGTGAGAGTCTGGGCCCCCACAGCAAGACCCATCGGAACTCTTGTGAACTGATACAAATTCCACGGGACGCAGAAAGCAGTGAGAGGTCGAGACTCAGGTTTCAAAGGAATCTGATGATATGCCTGATTCAGATCAAAAACAGAAAAATACTTGGCCTTACCGAACCAATCAAACGCAGAATGCAAATCGGGGAGAGGCACAGAGTCGATTTCAATTTGCGCATTCAATTTGCGATAGTCCAGAACCATTCGGGACTTGCCATTGGGCTTCGGAACGAGAAAAGCTGGACTTGCGTAGCTAGAACGAGAAGGTTCAATGACACCATTTTCCAGAAGTTCGTCAATGATTTTTCTGAGTGTTTCCATTTTGGGTGGAGCTAATTTGTAAGGGTGGGAACGAACGGGACGGGTATCTGTCAGACGAATCTCGTACTCTAACAGGTTAGTGACTCCAAGCTTTGGCGTCAGCACATCTGGGAAACGGGAACACAAGGTTCTGATGGCTTCAGCCTCGCAAGTAGTCAGATGCCCTAACGGATCAATTGTTGGCTTGCTGGGTATCTCAGGCTCGACTACCGCAGCACCACCACCAATTTCATCAGCAAAAGAAATCAATACCCGTCTCGCAAATCGGAAAAAACACTGACCTCTGCCTAAATCCAAAATTAGGCCAGTGTGCTTGATAAAATCCGCTCCCAAAATGACAGGGAAACAAAGGTCCTTAGCCACCCAAAAACTCCAAACCCAAGAAAAATGTTCAATTTTGAACTTGAAACGGGCTTCATAGATGATGGGAAGGGGTGAATTTGACGCAGTCCAGCATATAGGGGTTTTTCGCTCAACTTGCTTGATAAGCCCAGACGATTC